GTCTTCTTTCTTGTGCTAGTATACTAAATGATTTTATCTCCTCGCTCAAGTTAACATCACCATCTAAATTAGTTAACATATTATTTATTTTTAGACTAAAAAACTGTTTTTTCCTCAAATACGTACGAAAACGTTGTTGTTCTACATAAGAATCAGGTCGAGTTCGTTGTCCTAAATTCTCATTATCCTCATATCCAATAACATTAAACAGGTTGGTACGCAACTAGATTTTAGTAATCATTACGTTATAATTAATTTAATTCAAATTATATTACTATGTATAACTAAATTAGAACCTGTCTAATTCTAATTCAGAATAACCAGATTTAACTTGAAGCATAATATTATTGAATTACCTTCATAAAATTTGTATAATTTCTTGCAGCAATCTCCCAATGACGTTGCGATGGTACTGGAGGAATTAAAGACTTTAATGCCTTATTAATTTCTTCTACAATGACATCAAGTCCTTGATGTTGATTCTGAAGCCCAGAATGAGATACAACTGAGAAATTTTCAACAATTTCACGAATATGAGGCTTCAAATATAATAGATTTTCTTCATGAGATATTTCAAGCATTCTGTAAATTGGATGGCGTCTAGATGACCATATTGGTGCAAATTGACGCCTAGCTGCATTACGCAACAAAGGTTGATTATTTCGAACTCCAGTACAAAAGTTAATAATAGCTTGAAGATAAGTAAAAATCTATACTGTATTATTAATTATATTTAGTATTTTTATATTTTATATATAAATTGAAATTAATACGATAACTAACTTGTTCAAATTTTAGTTTATATGTTTCGTCAACTTGATTTTTGGCCCATTCCAAATATCCGTTGGGAGTTGGATCGTTATGATTTAAAACATATGGCCAAACTAATTCTGATGCCATAGAATAGCGGTAAATATTACATATCGAGTCCCATGATTTATGATGGTCAGCACATTTACGAAAAAACTCTAGCTGGTTATCTGTTCGATATCCTTGGCACCGGGCAAATGCTTTTATATCTATTTCCCTTAAAGATTAAAAACTAAATGTAAGTAAAAAAATAATAAAAGTAATATAATTTTGAAAATTATTCTATACTAGTTTAACTCAACAAATGCTTTAAGCATATTTATTTCTTCGTGTAGAGCACCTGAAAGTAAGATTAGCCACGGAAAGTTCTTTCTTAACTTTAATGCTTGATTATAGGGTACGCTATCACATACGACAGGTATCCATTTACGCTTCTCAGATTTAATTCCAGCAATTATTTCTATATGTTCTAAAACTTTTTGAACATTTACTAAAGAATTAGGATTA